CTCTCTCTCTCTCTCTCTCTCTCTCTCTCTCTCTCTCTCTCTCTCTCTCTCTCTCTCTCTCTCTCTCTCTGAATAGTTTACTGGGATTACTAGACAAGAATCAGTAAAAGTTCAGCACCTCTCTGTCTCCAATCTCTCTCTCTCTCTCTCTCTCCCTATCTCTCTCAAACTTTTACTGGAATTACAAGAAACAAATCTGCAAAAGTTCAGCACTCAATCTCTCTCGCTCACACACCTTTACAGCGCTGAAGTGACTTTTTATATTCCTCCTTCTGCTGTAGCGCACTGTCACTCTCGTGAACACACTCTGTATTTCTCCCTCTTTCCCCTTATTCTCTTCTACAGTGGAGTCATTAACAAATACAGTACAGTAGCATTGAGGCCTTTCAAACCCTGGAAATGTGCAAAAGAATTCACTCCTGGCCACTTGAAAGCTTCAACCACTAGCCTCGCTGCAACTGAAGAAGAAGGACAAGATCTCAAGATACAATTTCAGAGAAAGTGGATCAGTTTTAATGGCCTCTTACTTTTAATGCGACCTGTGAAAGTCTTCTCCCTGAGCCCGTAATGATGCGGTGAAAGTTGCAGGCCTCTCAAAGATATTTCCGTTGCCGTATCCCTCTGCAAAATACCTGCTTTTTAGGGTTTCTGCAACTCTCTCCTTTTAGGGTTTCTGAAACCTCTGGCACTGAGAAATGCCTTCGTGATGGGTCGATTTTTAGGGCTTCAGTTGAGCCGCCACAGAGAGAGAGACGGGGGGGCTTAGAGAGAGAAAGTCCAGAGTCTAGAGAGAATGCTGCTTGCTTAGAGAGAGAAAGTCAGGAGAGAGGAAGTTTGGAGAGAGAAATTTAAGGGAGACGCTTATTAATAGGAAAGGTTCACTTTTTTCTTTGGGGATTTCCTTTTGTAGAGAGAGAGAAAGGATTGAGAAAATCAAGCTGGAATTGCAGAGAAATGGAGGGAAGCTGTTGCCTTTTATAGCCTAGCAGCGCGTCCCTTGCGTTTCAGGCTCATTTTGAGAAAACACCCTCAATTTGTTACAAATTATCTGAGATAGCCCTCAATTCAAGGGTATAAGCGGTATTTGGGGATTTGAAGAATAATCAAATAACCCAGATTTTTAAGAATATTACGGATGCATTCCTCCAATTGAAGAAGTCAAAGAATCGGGAAATTTTGTTAATATTTACGAAACTGTCCTCCTTGTATTTGAAAGTTTTCGAAAATGGGCATGGGGTTTGGTTTTGCCGAACGTGGAGGCGGAACTCACGGTTACCGTCGTGCAGTCGATGAACGGTGGGATAACGCTTTCAGGAAGTCGTACGGCTGAAATTGAGATCATATTTGATTTTGAAATTCTGAGCCGTTCATTGCGGAGGTGTTATGCGCTTCTTAAAACCTAGTCAGAATATCGTACTCCAAACTTGGCAAAGCTTAAAATCTCTCTCTCTTCCCTCTTTCTATTTTCTCTCTCTCTCCTTTATCTCTCTCCTCTATTTCTATTTTCTCCCTTCACTTTCTCTCTTCTCTCCCTCCACTCTCTCTCTCTACTCCACTTTTGATCCGTTAGGAATCTAAAATTTTCTATTTCTGCAGCCGCCTATGCCCCCCTCTCTCGCTCTTTCTCTCTCTCTACTTTTCGTGCACATAGATATATAGGCACTATATTTTGGAGTTTTAAAGTAGAGATTGTAGCCTTTTTACCTTTTTTTTGTTATTTTCTCTCTCTTCCTACTTTTATCATTGGAAACTTTTACCTTATGTTGCATCTTTATCCATCTCTTATGTCCATTTTAGGTAGCTTGGCCTTTTTTTTGGGTAGGTTAGCTGGGATTTGTAGTTTGGAATTTGGGGTGTTTTGTTGCTAACCTTCTTTCCTAAACTAGTAGCTGGTCCCCGACCGACCGGGGACCCAAGGGAAGACATTATCCAGGTCCGGGGCATGGGTCCAAAAAATGGACCTGATGGGTCAGGATTAGGTCCAAATCTTAGACTTGAACACTAATCGAGTCTTGATCCGATCGGGTTGAGGTTTAGGTCCGTTAATATTTTTCGGGTCTTAAGATATTAAATATATTTAAGTATAGTTAAATCATTGAAGGAAAAATTGGGTGGTCTAATCGGTAACCACTCGATTAGATCCAAACGGCCGGTTCCGATTTCGGTCGGTTTTGGTGACTGGCCAGATATTTTTAAAAAAAAATTTATAAAACCCCATAAAATAAAGGATTTTGTTTGTAATGCATTTTTTAATACTTTTCATCATTATTGCGAATATTGGAAATTATTTTGGCAATTAATATTTATTTTTACATTTTTCCCATCTTTTTTGAAAAAATTCAAAAATACCTCGATTCTTTAAAATCCATTTTTTTATTAATTTTCAACTTCATTTGAATGTGTTTTGTTTAATCATTCTTTAAATTTAATTTTTATATTTTATTAAAAAAAAAATAATACTCTTTTGACCACCCGGAACTTGTCCGGTTAGAACGGTTGAACCGGCCAGTTTACCAGTTAGGCTGGTTGAACTTCTTACAAGCCAATGTTTAGTTGACTATTCTGGTTCGATTTTTCCTACATTGAGTTTAGTACATAGATATTTTAATTTTTGGGTCGGATATTAGTCTGGGTTCGAGTGCCACACTATATTTTTTGGTTCGGGTCCGCTGAATTAGTGTCCGGTCAGGTCCGAGTCCCATATCATTTTTTCGCGGTCTAGGTTCGAGCCCAGCAGTAGACCTGGACGTGACCCGACCTGCTGCCACGCCTATTGTGCCAAAGCCCCCTCAATCACGGCTTATGCATTTGTAAACACCAACTTTTTATTGTTCATTTAATTTATCAAAATAAATATAATTTCTCAAGTATTTAATATTTTAAAATAAAATATTAAATACTTTAGAAATTATATTTCCTTTAAAAATATACAAATAGACCATTTATTTTTAGTATAAGGAGCTCACAATCATTCTCGTCCATCATGTTTCAAATTGGGTGGTTGTGACTGTGTCATTGATTAGACTGAACTTCCAAAAAAAAAGTTTTCTTAAACTTTGCAGGACACTCCAAGCCACCCAAACATCTAATTGCTTGTAGCAATTGTAACCTATTTGTAACACAGATAAATAGTTTCATAGTACACAATCCTTTTTATTTATTTTTCAACTATTTCAACTTATGGTGGTTGTATTTTGCTAGGTTTCTGAAATTAAATCAAAATAAATGGGTAATGTCAAATAGTGGGGCGTAGTACACACCATATTGACCACCTATGTCTCCAGCCCATCCTCGAACTTAAGGGCATTTTTCATATATAAAATTCCATAATTTTATTGCTCAAAAAAGAATTACAACGACTTTAAATAATAAAAAAAAAACATCAAAGATAAGAAGGGATTGCAATGTTAGACCTCTCTTAGCAAAAAAAACAGCTACATCATTGGCTTCCCTATAAACATGTCTATAAGTGACACACAAACAATTTCCAATCTCGATAATAACCAACCAATGGGATATCAACCACCACGGGGTCTTCAAATATTCTTGTACCAATTAATAACATTCAAAGAGTCTCTCTCTATAATACATGGTTGTTGAATACCCCTCTCTTTTAGGATTTTCAACTCTTGTAGTACTACTTGCATTTTCGCTTCATATTTTCATCTTTTAGGATTTTCAACTCTTGTAGTACTACTTGCATTTTCGCTTCATATTTTCACCACATAGGCTGGCATAACAAAGAATGATATCACCATTTGAGTTCTTTGTTGTTGTACGTAGAAGCTCTAAACCCGTAATGTTGATTTTTGACAAATAAAGTACGAGAAAAAAAAGAATCGATAAAAAAACAAGTAACAAAAATAAAGCTAGAAATAAATAACAGAAAAAGAAGCATCAGGATTTACATGGTTTGTCACAAATGTGACTATATCCACAGGTAAAATCGATCAATGTTTTTCACTAAATCAAAGAAAAAAAACTACAAGGTAACTTACTTGAGAGAACCAAAGACTTAATCTCCCACAAAGCTTTCTTCTCTACAATTTTCTCTCTCTGCAAAAAACCCCAAAAAGTTTCCCTCTATTTCTCTGTATTTTTTTTCTCTCTAAATAACCCATTATATAGAAAAAGCAAACCCCAAAAAGGTGGTACGTGGGGCTCTATCTTTTCCCATAAAGATAGGAAACTTAATTTTATCTTTATCTACTTGTGGACCTAAGGCTTCATCCTAATCTAAGTAAGATTTATCCATAAATTTAGATCTTAAATAATAGGCTCTACCCAAATAAATAGGAAACCTAAATTAAAAGAAATCAATCCCTTAAAATTAAGGATTCAATAATTTAAGATAAATATCAACAAATCTTCATTTGAATTCCAAAAGAAATTTCCATCGACCGTCTTCTCCGCACGCGTCCCCATAGGCGCTTACCTTAGCAACACATTAGTCAAGTCCAAACATAACTTAAACTTCTGTAATAGAACCAGCTTGATCAACATAGTTGTAACATTCTTCTTAGTGTCAATCTTCTGTAATATGATTTCAACTTCAGCTATGATCTCATAAATAAAATGATATCCGACATCAATATGTTTCGTCCTTGTATGATATACCTGTTTTTTCGTCAAATATATTGCACTTTGACTATCACAATCAATAATAGTCTCATCATATCATAAGCCCAAATTGCTTGCAAGCCTCTAAGCCAAAAATGGCTTCTTTCACTACCTCAGTAACAAATAGTATTTTGCTTCAATCGTAGACAAGGCAACTACAATTGTAGCATCGACTTCCAACTGATCGGAGCTCCTACAAGTGTAAATACATAACTTGTAATAAATCTCCTAAAGTCTAAATCACTTGCAACACTAGACCCACATCTGATGTACCCCTTTGGTAACGCATAATCCATTTTACCGCATGTCAAATGCTCATTTCCTGGATTAGCCATATACTTGCTAACGATACTAACGGCACGAGAAATATCTGGTCGAGTGCAAACCATTGCACTCACATAGGGAACACGTGACGTATTCCTTTTCAGCATCTGAACTTGGAGATAATGCTGCCGACAATCTAAAATGTGCATTAAGAGGCGTACCTACAGGCTTTGAATTTTCCATCCCAAATCTAACGATGACCTTCTCAATGTACTCCTTCTTCCACAATTAACCAAACTTTCGAACTCTGCAAATCTCCATGCCCAAAATTTTCTTTATTAAACCTAAATCTTTTACTTCAAATTCTCTAGCAAGCTGAGTCATTAATTTACTGATTTTTGAAGAATTATGTGCAACAATAAGCATAAAATCTACATAGAGCAATAAATAGATGAACAAACCATCAGTAAATCTCATAAAATAGAGACAATTGTTATATTTACTTCTGACATGCCCGTGTTCAATCATGAATGTATCAAAGCGTTTATACTGCCTAGGAGACTGCTTTAGGCCATACAATGACTTCTTCAGCTTGCGGACATGGTCCTCCTTTCCTTTAACAACAAACCCTTATAGCTGAGTGATATAAATATGTTCTTCTGACTCTATATGAAGGAATGCAATCTTAGCATCATGCTGCTCTAACTCCAAATTAAATAATGCAACTATGGCTAGTAAAACCGAATAGAAATGTGTTTCACAACATGAGAAAAACTATTATTATAGTCAACACCTTCTTTCTCTGTACCCTTTTTTGCAATCAAACGTGCCTTAAATCTATCACCACCAGTCTCAAGTGACCCATCTTTCTTTTTATTAACCTATTTACATCCAATGGCACTATTGCCTTTGAGCAACTTCACGAGATCCCAAGTACGATTCTTCTGAAGAGATTCCATTTTTTCATCTATGGATTCATTCCACCTGCTACTGTCCTTAAAAGTGGATGGCTATTGGCTTGTGGCAGCCAATGCATAAGCTACCATGTC